CCACACCTTATCAAGATCTTAGGCTTTGTTTTAAGCATCCCAGGCGCAATGTCCATACTGAGAGAATTTTTTCACTAAGTCAGAGCTAATGGTAGAAATTAATTATGACTATAGTTGTAAAGAGTTTTTAAATTTGCAAAGATAAAAAAATGCTTAGTTCTGCAGCATCAGTGGACAAATACATATATGCTAGGACTAAGAAACATGCAAATTTGTAAAATTTATTCTATATTGTGACCTGTATATTATATACAATGTAAATTAATTGTTTTGTTTAATATTATCCATTCCATGAACGTTTGCTGGATTGACGCCACGCCGCTAAAAATGCACAAAATTTGTCGTCACTAAATCTCCCTTAAATTCATGACTGAAAGTTGGTCACCCTAACTAAATCTCCCTTAAATTCATTACCGAAAGTTGGTCACCCTAGTGTTGAGAGAAGTCTCTTCAGTTAATGTGTTACTCTTTTCTTTAATAGTCTGCATCAGAAAAGTGTTCGTGTACTGGAAATGCCTAAAGAAAAGTGAAGCAGTAGATATTTAAAAAATTGGTCGGTGTCGGGTAATAGTGACTATTCAACAGACAGTGTTGTCGTGTACTGTCAAGTTTGCGCAAAGGAAGTAAAAAGTGAACAGAAATTTCAACTTGAACAACACTCAGGAACGACTGCACATATTATGGAAAAGAAGGGGAAGAACAGCACACCACAACAACTACTTCTTACATAGGTCAAACCCAAGTCCTCTGTTAATACATTTTCAGCAGATCTTTAAGGCTTTAGTATGCAGCAACTTTCCATGGAATAAATTCGCAATCCAGTTCTGCGATCATTTCTGGAGAAATATTGTGTAATTCAAAAAATCCCAATAAATCAACTCTTAGAAAAAATATCTGCCTTTGCTGTATGAATCTACTCTGGGATCAATCCGTTCTGACATCTGAGGGAACTGTGTCTGGATATCGGTGGATGAGACAACCAATTTATGTGGTGATACACAGCAAATTTCGTAGTTGGTAAGCTACATCCAGAGGAACCCGGCAAACCTCATCTTCTTTCTTGCAAAGTACTAGAGAACACCAACCATAGAACAATAGCAAGTTTTGTAAACGATTCTCTGTGACTACTATGGCCATCTGAAATTGACAATAATTGTTATAAGGTGCTTGCATTACTCACAGATGGATATGTTGAAAGCAGCAAAGGCCTTTTTTTTATTGCTAGTGGGGTGGGACTAAGTCCCTTGTACTGCGGCCACTTCTGACCTATTGTACCAGCCCCAGATGATAGGTAAGGGTGATTGTGGAGCAATTGGTGGAATGAAGATTGGCAGGGTAAACCGAAGTACTTGGAGAAAACCTGCCCCAACGCAACTTTGTCCACCACAAATCCCACTTGACCAAACCTGGGATCAAACCCGGGCCGCCGCAGTGGGAAGCCAGCGACTAACCGCTTGAGCTATGGGGCGGCCCCCAGCAAAGGCCTTACAAGTATTTTATCCAAAACTTATACATGTTACCTGTTTAGCGCACGGGTTACACCGTATTGCAGAAAAAATACGCGCACAGTTTCCAACGATTTAATTGCAAGTGGGAGGAAAACTTTTCTGAAAGCACCAGCTCGTGTCCAGTTCTACAAAGATCGCCTACCTCAGGTTCCTCTTGCCACCTGAACCTGTCCTAACTAGGTGGGGGACATGGTTATTCGCAGTTTCATTTTATCAGGAGAATTTCAATCAAGTAAAAGAAGTGGTTGCAAAACTTGAAGATGAGTATGCATGTGTCCGTGATGCAAAAGTGGTGTTTGGATGTGATACTGTTTCTCAAGATGTGAATTTTATTCATGCACATTTTTCTACAGTTTCAAAAGCCATTGAGAGCTTAGAATCTTGTGGCAAACTCCTTCACGACTCACGTGAACTTGTTCACTGAATTCCGCTCCAGGCCAAATTAGAGAGAAAATTAAATGCATGTTAGAAATGGTGTGGAATTCGAACTCAGGACTAAAAAAGATTCAGTCAGTCAGTCAGTATTTGAGTGGAATTAGGGTATCTTTGCCAGTAGAATGTTCCGAACCTTCGGCGCAAGTGTATAAATACTGTCCAATCATGTCAATTGTTGTACAAAAATCATTCTTGGCCTGTAAACTCATTTTGACGGGCAACAGACATAGTTTGTCTCCAGAAAACATTGAAAGACTTCTAGTTGCCTATTGTGATGCTACTTTCTGCAGTGAATGATACGTGTAAATACGCGAGTGAATAAAGTGACCCGTTTCTTAAGTGCATATTGTTTTATTTTGGTGCATATTTTCCTGCTTTTTAGCGCATAAAGATCCGGGCCCTAGTTATCACCCAGCAGATTCACATCAGCATTGACCTGTCATGTGTTTGGTGACTAGACATGGATTTTGATTGGTAATTGGATTTACTGAACTCATACAAGTAATTATAGTGCTCTTGCTAATTCATGCACTCTACAATTCACTACAGCAAGCAGAAAGTCTTCTAGGTTCATACTCATAGATGTCACCTAGTAACAGACCCCACAACAATATGGATTCCTTGGCTTCTGTGTTCAATGGATTCTCTCATCACTGGCTGATGACTGTCTCTGGGTCTAGCCCAGTGGTTCTCAAACTTTTTACCTCTGAGCCCCCCTGACAAGAGAAAATACTCTTAGGCCCCCAGCCTGTTTTTTTATCAAAATAGAAGCCATGGTATGTTTGACATTTTATTCAGTTTATTTTGTTTTTCTACATACTATTTAGCGGTTTTTTTACTCAAAATTAAAGTATCACAATATTAGGCCTACAATAAAAATTAGTTTTAACACTTGCAATTAACCAAAATATGTATTGAAATGAAACGATATTTAACTAACAAGTATTTAATTTTTTTCTGTAAAGAAAATCAAACATTTAAATGTCAAAGTTCAGTGTAATGGACAGGCCTGCTTTTGAGAACAAAGTTTATCAAAACGTGGTGTAATATCAGAAATGGCCACTCTAACTTCTTTAGCAATATTTAGCCTTGAATGGTAACTTGACTTTATAGCTGCCAAAGCAGAAAAGCCTGTCTCGCCTAAGTAAGTTGTTGCGAAAGAAATCAGTACCTTCAACGCCTTTTGGCTCAAAGTTGGGAATTCCTTGCCAATATGTATCCAGAACTCCAACAAAGACAATTCCTTAAATTTACTTTTTAATGAAGTATCACTAGTGAGATCGATGAGTTGTTCTTGCTCATTTTCCTTCAGAGATGATGGCCCAGGAGCATTTTCAAATGGATTTTTAATCCAATTAAATTTATTAAAATCATCACAAAAGTATTTTTTGAAATGAAATTTCAACATTATTAGATGATCAAGTAGGCAGCTTTTTATTCCCATTGGAAGCACTGGATTATCAGTGTCTTGTAACATTTGACACCAAAGTAGGGAACATGTCTACCGTGTCACTTTCCATACTGTTTCTCCAGAGCTCTAATTTTCTCATGAATGCCTTTACTTTGTCATTCCAAGAAAGTACAGTTGCCTCATTCCCTTGAAGTGAAGTGTTGAGGATATTTAGTTTCTCAAATATATCTGTGAAGTAAGCCATTTTCAATAAAAAAATCCTTGTTGCTGAAACTGTCTGCCAGTGAGTGATTTTCCCCATTTAAAAAACAGAACACCTCATGCCTCAGCTTAAACATTCTCTTTAATACCTTGCCTCTTGAAAGCCATCGAGCATCACTAAAAAACACCTTTCCTCACACAGCATTTTAAAAAGTCTAGACTTCAGAGGATTTCACAGGATGCGGCTGCCGCCAAACTATCAACGCTGCCTCTGGCATATGCGTTTTATAATTGCTGGTAAAGAGAATAATTATTGGTTAGTTTAAAATTCATGATAATTAAAGCCTGTACTCATCAAAAGTTTTTCTATATGTATTTTTACTTTTTGTTACTTTTCTAATTGATTTGGGGCAGTTTTAATTTTTATCTGTAGGAAAGTATACTGCGCCCCCCCCCCCTTCAAGCCCTTCGCGTCCCCCTGGGGGTCGCGCCCCACAGTTTGAGAACCACTGGTCTAACCCACAACTCCAACTGTGTCTTCACCTTCTCAACTGCCTGCCCACAGTCAGAGTCAATTTATAAATTGCAGTTTAAAACCAATCAGTTCGTTTTGGCACCAAGGCCCTTGAGGCTCACAACCAGATTTTGTTTTTGCAACTCAAACCTTGTAGTCATAGTCCTTATGTAACATTCTCTCTGACAAGAAGATGGGTTTGTCTCTTATGAATATGCCTTGCTTTTGTCAAATTTACATATCACATATATTCATATAGCATGTTATTAAAAATCCTTACTTTTTGCACTATATAAAAGTCCTCTGTCTGTACAGGCTTTGCAAACCAGATAATGCCTATTTTATGTATCTTATGCTACAATGGCAGCTTGGTCACTTGAACAGTCATATACTTGACCATGGCCAAGTTTAAGCCTCTTATATTTTACTGACTGACCACTGGTTTTGGTCCCCCTTATAGTCTTAGCATGGACTGTACAGAAAACACTACTTCCAACAGTTCTTCTGTTGTTGCATGCCTATCCACTGCCATGGGAATGTGTTTACTGAGCCATTCCCTACCCACAACCATTTATTATTACTCTGCACTTCTGGCTTTCAGCTTGTACATCACAATATGAATACAGTATATTTGAAACTGACAGTAGCTTTAAATTTTCAACCTCACAGAACGAACAAACCATGCACAATGTAACGCATGTACCAAGGCACATAATCATTCAATTATTTACAAGTCTGCTTTGTATCCATAATTATCATTATCATTTCTTACCAGATACTATACAACTTACACAACTAATGCATTACTGTTACATAAAGAAAGAAACAAGTCTACAGAATCAGTGTATTCTGCAAATCACAATTAATATCTATACCGGAGGGGGTCCCCCAGATGTCACGGCATACAGAACACTTAAAACTGAGAACTTACTTGTGATATGAAAGTTCCCTGTAGAGATGGTCTCTGAAATCTGCTTTGAATTTTGTACGATATTTGTTGCACAATGTGCAGCAGTAGAGGTTCCCTACAGGTTTTCCATAAGGACCAAATTTCCCTTCTTTCTCTTCCATCTCCCCAATATCAATACTTGTCCTGTGGATGATGTCAGGTTTGGGAACATCACCTTCTTCTTCAAGCAATATTCCACGGATATGTCTTACACGCTGCATGTCTCTACGCCACAGAGGTGTTGTGTCAAATAAACCTATTTCCAATGGGGACCCATTCTTAGCTCCTGATGACTGGGATGTTTGAGAAGTATCCACCTGTATATAATATACACAATCACCAGGTTATCTCAAATGCAGAAACATGAGTGATACACTCACTTGTTGGGGGGGGGTGGGGGGGGAGGAAGAAACCCATGAATAAAATTATCAGCATGGCTTACACCTTGAAGATGGAGAAGGTATTTTTCTCAGAGCATCATCTGACATTCACTGGACCACATGGCATTATATCCCAGAGGACAGAATTCTCTATAGCCACTACTGTTGAGACCCTCAAAGCCAACATATCTTACATTACTTAGGACTGGAAGTCTGTACAACAAAAATACATACTTTATGAGTCATGCCCACCATATTTTTTTAAATGCTAGTGGGGTGGGACTAAGTCCCTTGTACTGCGGCCACTTCTGGACTATTGTACCAGACCCAGACGATAGGTGAGGGTTATTGTGGAGCAATTGGTGGAATGAAGATTGGCAGGGTAAACCGAAGTACTCGGAGAAAACCTGCCCCAGCGCCACTTTGTCCACCACAAATCCCAGGATCCCCAGGATCGAACCCGGGCCGCCGCGGTGGGAAGCCAGCGACTAGCCGCTTGAGCTTTGGCGCGGCNTGGCCCATGCCCACTATAACTCCTTACTATTTAATTTACTTATACATTTACTTCTTCTTTCTTGTTGGCTTCCTTGGAACTTCTGCAACAGCCTAAAAGGTTTTATGAATTCCATTAAGAACTCTTTGTTAATTCTTTCTTCTTCCTTATTTTTTGGCACATATGTGAAGTTGCAAAAATGCACCTGCTGGATTCACCATATTTCTGTCTGCCCACATGTAAAAATTTGAGAACTGATGGAAGTACCTTCATTATCTAGTCAAGTTGTTATGATGTCTACAGACATCATGCAGTACTGTGTATCATAGTGGTTATGACGTCTATGCATGTCACACATTTCTAACTACTCCCTTGTAGATATAATGCCAGTCAGCAATGGAAACTTGTAGGTTGTGCTTGCAAGATGTTCTAGGTACTCCAGAGTGTGACAGGAAGTTGTTAATTGCTTGATAGCTGCCCTGGGTTAGAGTTCATTTGACCAAACATTATGGTAGGTCCTAGCAAAATGATGTGCGTAAGTGACGAGGTGTTTTATGAATTGTTAGAAGAGAATGAATGCAGTGATATTTTAGAGAGTGAATATAGTAGTGATAGTGAAATAAATGTGAAAATTTTGTCAGGTGGTGAACAAAGAGTCAGCTCTGATGAAGCAGAAAATGTCAGTGATGTCAGGGATCTTTGTCATGGTAGGTATACATTCCTTCAAAATGTGCCAGATATGACATAGAATCATTTGAATTGTGTGAAGCCAAATCTGGTTATCTATGGAATTTTATTATTTACCCTGGGCACAGTATCTGCCACTTGAGTTGTGGCAATGTTTCCAGTGGTATAATCATTTTAGTGATGATTTCATAGCCTGTAAAAGATAATGATTTTGCAGTCAGTGTTTGGAGGAACAGTTCAATTCATTCATCCATACTAGCCTTGAGCTTGCGAAGGAAGTACAATTTCAGCCAAGATGACAATAAGAGACTCTGTTTATGAATGACGCATCCACAGTGTCACAGTAAGCCAAGCTGGGAGAGTGTGTTTTCACTAGACAGTTTTGTCAGCCAACTACTATGATCATGTTTCATTTCTAAATACTAGAGGTCAAGATGGCGTATACTGAATGTGCATGACTCGGGCATATATATAAGATCATGTAGTCTGAATGGAAATGAAAGCCAATGGAGATTTATGAGAATGAGGCCAAAAGCACAGAATTTTACTAAAAGAAATATATGTAAACTCTAATGTAATGTTTATAGAAATGAAAATGCAAGTATGTGAAGTATGTTAATTGGTCTTCTTTTCGTGCTATAATTTTATAATGACACACGATTGAGATATTGCATTTTAAAAAGGGAGCAAGAACTATAAAATTAAATGTCACAGTGACAAATTTAAATGTCCGGGTGAATTTAATGTGCCACTGTGGGTGGGGTAAGAACACAGAAAAGAACTGTTTGACTGCATATGTCTGATACCAGCAAGTTTCCCTAAAATTTGTCATCCCACTCCAATTTTGGTTAAAACTGTGCAATAATAATGGATACTTCACATGCAGACTTACACAAATTTCTGCATTCAGCTTTAGCACATTTCACTTGTAACATTCTAAATGCTTTTTAAACAATTCCTCAGTTTTCAAGACAATGAAACAAAAAGTTTCTATTTTGAATTGTTTCATTTTTGGTCCGTTACACTATCAATCACAAATTGTCAATGAAAAATCCGTCGAGTGTAACAATGTAACACAACACACAACGCGTAAGAAACATCCGACCATAAGCCTACATAACCTCAAGTTGACATTTCCCATCATCGGGACGAATCAACAAGGAGCCGAACATTTTACTTTAAATGTTTTAAACTTTTAAATATTTTAACATTGACGGCTCAATTTGAGGGCAATTTTCAGATGGAATGCAAGAGTTGTACGTGCATTCAATGCTACTAGAAAGTGTTGTGCTTTTACACTTCGACATCTGTAACAGCGTCCACGCAGCTTACATACTGTGTACATTAAACAACGCCAGTGTTTTCATGTGTTTGTAATACGTGCCTCTGATGATGGTTTCTCTTGAACCGAAACATGTAAGGCAAGTGAGATAAATAAGTGACCTAAAAACATTGTTACACTCGACGGATTTTTCATTGACAATTTGAAAAAGTTTCTTTTTTCTGTTGCCTCATAACTCTAGAACTGTTGGATTTATTCTGTTTGTTTGCATCACATGCATAAAATTAGGGAGATATCATCAAAAGTTAACATTCGGGCACTGAAAATCCAGGCATAATAAAAACAGAATGTGACAGAATTGTTATGCCAATCATACGTTTATAACTTGTTTTTGTTGGTTTCCCTTGAACTCCTGGAACATAAGTATGCTACTTTTCTTGAACAAATTTTCTTACAACACTCAGTGATGAAGACACAAACATGTAAGGATACAAAACAATTTACATTTACATACAGATCCGATCAAATGGAGCCTGAATGGAATGAACTTTCAAAACACCACTGGAAATAATAATCATTATTATGTGGCAGTAATATTAAGAATGTCAGATTCAAGTCTTACTGAGATGAAAGACTTTCCCATGCTGAGTGGTTCATTGCCAGATTTATGTTACATCGACACACTATAATTTCCCAAGCTTAACTGTTCAATGCCCAATTTGTATTACATTGATAAAGTATATTTTCCCCAAATTCAGCTGTCACTTTCAAAACTTCAAGCCACATTTTGTGAAATATTTTAATTATTTTTAAATCCTTTGTTTTCAACTGGTATAAATGGTTACACACCTTGCGATATACATGGATGAGCTCCACATTTTCTGCAGCAGGATGCCTGGATGCGAAGTGAGAGTCAAAACTGGCCTTGGAGGAAGACCGGTAACTGCAGAGCCCACATTTAAACTGACTTTTCAGCCCATGCACACCTGAAGTATGATCCAACACTTCAGATCGTGTCGAGCACTGGAACTTGCAGAGACCACAATGCCATGGATTCTTCAAAGCTCCTGCACTACTTGAATTTCCTGCTATAAGTTAACAATACAGAGTATAAAACATTACACTAAAAGGATTTCATGTGTAATACTGTACTGTGAAAACCTAAGTTAAGGTTTCTCTAGGGAGAAGGGGATTTGAACACTGAGCAGTATCTTAAAATAAGGAAATCTGACATGGAGTTACTGACTTGGGTTCACTCAACCCTCAATCGAGAGACATTAAATGTGGGTTTCAGAGTACATACATATCCTGTGCACATGGGCACATGTGTAAAATTGTCAAAACAAGAGGAACTGAAAGACATTTCATCTTTTTCTATGGCTGTACACATAGGATGCCTGGGGAAAGCCATGCTGCATATATGACCATACAATATTGCTGGAAAATCTTACATAGACGGCAAATCAAGATGTCGATGGAAGGCTTATATTAAAATTAATACAGGGAATTGGATCATGTTAGGACGTGAACTGTGTGATTTAGCACTCATAAAAGGGCCACAGTAATGACAACTTTTCTGTTTCAATGAAAACAGTGAATTTTTGCACTTAAGAACTGCTCATGGTAGGAAAATAGAGCCAATAACCAGTTCTTCAATAAGTCAAACCCCAGATATCAACATACACAATTTTCATTCAAGCAAACTCCCAGTCTACTTGCAGAACATGATTTGTATGTTGAAAACTGTTCAATAATACTAGCAGCAATGACTTCTTTGAGTGTTCTATTTGTCTGGTGATTCAAATCCCAATCAGGTCATTAGATTTTTTTCAATTGACCTAATCCTTCTGGCCGCCCTGGGGTTCACTCAGCCTCTAACAGAAATGAGTACCAGGAATTAATTAAATAATTTTCCTGGGGACTAAAGTGCGGCCAGTGCATAAGGCTGACAACCTTATCGCCATCTTTGAGCCGTTTGTCTAGATAATGCGGGATCCTCAGCATCTCACAACCCTATGGGCCTTCATGGCCTGTTACAGGGATAGCTTTACTTTTACTCTACCTCTCTACTCAATTAGAAAATGTAGTTCAGATTATTATTATTATTATTATTATTAGTAGTAGTAGTAGTAATAGTAGTAGTAGGATGGGTAAAGATAAAGGTAAACCTTCCCCCATGCCTATGCACCCCCTTCATAAAGGCCTGTCCCAATGGGACTGATTAGTTACACCATTCTAGTACTTTCTGACCATTAGTAATCGACCTTGTGCCATTTGGTGGTCTACCTCGTGGCTTCAACAGGAGTGATGCGACATTTTAAATCTAGCAGCACTAAGAAGCCCTCAGACACAGTTACTGGCATTTAGAAGTTGCACAATTCCACTAGATTTGATGTTCAGCAAATTTCTGGGAGCCATGACATGCAACCTCACACAACAAAATCTTTAAAGTCACTTGATATTTTCTGTATCTTTTAAGTGATATCAATTCACTCTCAGGAAGGTAAACATTACATGGTGTTAGACCTGGAGAGGACACTGAGGAAGAAAGATCAGAGTGCCACGCCTGGCAACTTCATGGTCTACAGTAACTGTCTGATGCCATCTTACATTCTCTTAATGTGCAGAAGTGGGGTGAATGGTCACCTGCTAGGCAGTAAGTGCAGTGTTGCCACCAGCTGTCCATTTCATTTTTCTGGTACCCAGGTCCTTGGGGGGTGGGGGGGGGGAGGAGAGAAGAGGTCACAGTTAACCTTGTCCCATCTGTTTATAAATACATTTCTGAATCCTCTAACTCTGGTACGTCGTACACACTCTGTGCTTTTCTGTGGTATCTTCCTAACAAAGCAGCTGCAATTAATATTTTCAGCAGGATATTGAACACACTGTGATCGGTATATATATTGTGACGAGTTGTGCAATGGAGGACACCCCTCCCTCCCCAGCGGTATGTGGCGGCATCGTAGCGCTGTCGTTACTCTCCGCGGTGATGTAACACGCAACGCAGCTGTGACACGGGTAACAGGCAACAGCAGTACCCATTGCGTAACAGGCGGGCGCTGCGACTATATAAGGGAACTACACAGCCACTGCAGTTAGTTAAAGTTTAGCAGCCGCCGAAGACAGTTCTCAAGTTCTCGAGTTATCTAGTTACGAGTCAGTCACCAGTTAATTGCAGTAGAGTATTTGTGATACTGCCAATGGCAATAATGTTGAGCTTGTAAACTGTGTGATTGTAAGAGCGAATGTGAAATAAAATTCGCTATATCCAGTAAGGCGTGAAGTTATTTGTCGCGTTATATACCCAACATGTGACAATATATATTAATATTGATGGCAAAGAACAGTTAATAATCCATGGTTCCAAAATCTACCCGCAATATTTCACTTCACTAGCATGCACACAAATCTCTACAATTTTTTAAAATTCACTGTAACAAATATAATCAATGAAAAACAAAGGATATCACCACATCAATAACATCTCTCAGAGTATTAAACAGGCAAAGGGTTCAATGTCCAGCTAGGGGCCAGCTATCCTGAGATTTACCCGTCTCTGTGTGCAAACACCAGGCTGCACCAGCCACAACCTCTTCATCATTCACTACCCCACTGTCTATGTACCATGCCTAATTGAACATTAAACGGCCTCAGCAGTTCATACAGTTATCATAAAATAACCAAAACAGCAATATTTAAAAAAATCATCTTGCCTCCTTCAAGTGATGTGCTGGCAGATGCTTCAGTCTTCGCATTGCCTGATTCCACATCTGGTTCCCTAACTACTTGGACAAATGGTCGTTTCTCTGGATGCTTGTCAGCAAGATGTCTTTCCACGACATAACGCTGGAAGTGATGGTACATGCAATGAGCACACTTATACAGGCGACTGTCATGCATCTTCAAGTGAGCACCCATACGCTCAATGGACACCACTTGACCTACGTTTTCATGAAGGGCTGACGTAGGACAATGAGGACACCTGTGAGGAACAAACACAGTGTTCATTTCATTTCAAATAAAAGCTACATGTACCAAACTGACTCCAAAATTATTTATACGAATTGTATTAATAATGGCATTTGGTGTTTGGAGGAATGAATGAATATATATATGCCTGCTTCTGCTTAGGCCAGGTACACTAGAAAATAAATTTTTTATCGTAGTGGAACACCAAACAGTGTTTGGCACTTTTTGAACAAATAATAAATGCACTTGCAGACGAGCTACTTTGCTTTCACCGTGACTGCAACTGCTAGATTCACTAACAGTATTATTAGATACTGTTTCTATTAGACTTAAAATTGCACCCTCTTAATAAGTTTTCAATGCAGCACAAAGCAGTAGCTTTTCTAGCTGAGGATCAAGAGTTAAACTGCATGAATCATCATTTTCACTTCTCATGATTTTCTAAACTCTGAAATGCGCTGGTATAAGAATTAAAATCATGTAAAAATAACTTAAGCCTCAATATGAGTTCTACTGTAGCAAGGTATGCCCCAAATCACCATCAAGCAGCAGCGATCATGTTAAAAGTGGGAATGATACATTTGTCTTACCAACAGTTACTGTCCCTTTACAATCACATCAAAGTTCCACAACATTCATGTAAGTTCGATTACACTAAGTTCGATACACTAACAAGCTACTACTCCTATTATTAACCCTACAAACACGAAATATTCTGTCCCACAAAGTATCCAAAACCAGACTATATGTGCAGTGTCAATGTGGGGCGGGGGATCTAAATACCCACCTATATGCTGTTTCATCAAAATGCAGTGCTCGTAGATGGTATCGCAACATGGTCTCATCACACGTAAGATAACTGCATCCTGGAGCTCCACATACATATCGTTGGTGCTCAGGCACAAACTTCGGTAATTTTGCTTCAAGCTCTTCTGTTAATGTTAGGCTCCCTGTATAATATATTTAAAATTAAGAATGTGTACATCCTAAAAGAAAAGACATAAGAACATATTCTGGTCCTACAGGTTGTGACACCTTGTGGTCTTGTAGGTGGACACAAACATTTTGCAGGAACATGCCAGGGCTGGACACTTTCTAGAGCAACATACGGCAGGACTACAGAAGAAGTGAATAGGATCTGGAAGAAAGCAGCCATAACCTGACACCAATGTTTTAGAGGAACATGATAGGGTTGGACACTTTCTAGAGCAACAAACGGCAGGACTACAGAAGAAGTGAAGAGGATTTGGAAGGAAGCAGTCATAACCTGAGATATTATCCTGTAATTTATCTGGAGGGACTGAGTAAAACCACAACAACCTCATTCAGGAGAACCAGTGTCCCAGATGATTTTCATACTTAGCATCTCCTGAATATAAATTTATAGTATTACTGCTACACCAGTCCGTACCCAGAAGACCAGGATCTGAACAATCACTGATGAAAATTTTAAAATTTATATAAAAGGGCATGCCCAATAAATCTTGCACATAAAAAACATATCCCACTATTTATGACCTGAATGTGGGTTCAGTTTTTAAGTGCTTGTCATTTCCGTTTGTTTTATAATACCTCATATCCCAAATACAGACCAAAAAAACTTTTCATGTTAAATTCAAGATTATGATAACAATCAATATTAGAAATTGGAACTATCAGGCTGAAAGGAAACCATACTCATTACCACAGTAAGGCTTGGCTGATCACACAAGGGATACATAAATTAAATCCTGAAAAGATCAGATTTATTCTGGAAATCAATGTCAAAACTCTGTTAATTCTGTACACGGTACACAGGGTTTTGCTGTATTCATTACTTCAAATTTAACCAATCAGTAAACTCATCTGTAAATTCAGCTAACCTGATGGTGTATCAGATGCTTTAGCAGATGATGGTATATGAGAACTAGCAGCTAGATTTGTCATTTTGTCAAACATCATTTCCTTCTTCTCAAGACAGGGCACAGGGTTCACTGGTGCATTTTCTGGTGGCACTACCTCTGGGATAATGCTGCTTGTGAGGTGGAGATGCAAGTGACGTACCATATTACTGCGTACTTTGGTAGTATAAGAACATGTAGCACATCGCACAGGCCGTGTATAAATTGCCTGTAGTGGAAGTAATTCTACGTCTTCCGGAAGGAAAACTAACTTGCTGCGCACATCCTGTGTATTCTTACCACTACTTTTACCACCATGTCCACCTTTACTCTTGTCCTACAACAGATAAAATTAACTGAAATGGGAAACTCAGAATCTTACTACTAGACCACTGTAGTGAAAGAGGTTTATAGTGGCCAAGTCTTAAAAATAGACGTAAGACAGAATTATATACTGTATTTACGCATGCATAGGCCGCGTGCGTGTATGGGCCGCAGCACAATTTTCAGACAGAAATTATAGAAAAAATAATTTTCTTGGAATATTATTTCAGGAGTAGAAATTATTCCGAAATGAATATGATTAAATGAAGTGTGATTTCGAATATTTCGAATATAAGCCGCACCCCAGTTTTCCTCTTGAATTTTTGGCAAAAAATGTGCGGCCTATACATGTGTAAATATGGTTACTTGCAGCAAAGCACAAGGAACTAAGATAATATTCTACAACATAAAACATAATTTTATAAACAGAATACATTCTTCAGACTTGGATGTTAGGTCAAATTTATTAAACAAAATTTAATTTCATATTAATCTAAAGGCATGAGATAACACATAGGTAGTCTGTCCAAAAGTTCCCAGAATTCATCAGTAACAATGATACTTCTACACTTAGAAATTAGTTGCATTTATCCCCTTCAAAATAATATTCTTGAGAAGCAACCTGCACTATATTTGGAAGCACTTTTAAAGGATGTTTGTTGAATCATGGTCAGTTTATCCACCATATTCATGAGTATGTCCACCACCATTTGAAACCTTCCTTTCAGGGTAATTTTATTCTGGGGAACAGAAAAGGGTCTGGGCATGACACATAAGATGAAGGCGGATGGCATGGAAGGTTAATTACTGAAAGCTTTGCCAAGAACTCTCAGGCCTACAATGCTATTTGAGCTGGTGTTTGGTCATGATGTAGATGCCAAATTTGTGTGGTCAACATTTCTGGTTATTTTCTTCATACTGCATCCCTTATGTATCTTACACCTTCCAGATAATAACCCTGATTAAACATCTAGACCGATGGAACAAAATCATGATGAACTATGGTTGTCACAATAATAAAAATAAATACAAAAATTATTTTTCTGTTCAAATGCACCTTTTGTGGGTTAGCACAAGCTTAAACAATGTGTATTTTACAGAAAACTTGACCACTACTGCAAAGATTCATAAAGCAAGGCAACTGAAATATTTCAGGGATACTGTTCACAATTTCATCATTTTCTTTCGAGTACCTGGCACTTTTGTTTCTATCCAATGAAAATAAAATAATTGCTAAGCTTCAATATTCTCCTGCTGATGCAGACAGGTTTTATTATTAATTTCCTGGGTTATGGGCTTGTTGGTTCTAGTGCCGGGTAGGGTTTCTGTGGTTCCACTGTGAGGGAGGACCACCAGACTCCTCCAATGTGTTCTAGACAGTTTGCAAGTTTGCAGGACGTTCTAAGATAACTGGAACGTACTTACTTATAACATTATTAAGGAGAACATCTTACCTTTGGAAACACTACAAACATGGCCGTTTCTGGGTCTGTCCTCAGAGGGTTGAGGGGTACAACTCTGGTACTGCCAACACGGTGCCTCTGTTTAAGATGTTTTGCCACATGCTGTGGTACTGGTGCCCGGAAAGAACACAATGCACAACTGAAACGCCTGGTGCCATGTGTACGCAAATGTTCCAGCAATGAGTTTACGTATTTGAACTGCTTCTTGCAATGGACACATGTCAAGCTAGACGAGGCCCTTGCTAGATCACAAACCAATAAGTGATCTTTCAACAGTGATGAAACTTCAGCTGAGAAAGTGCAGGTAACATAACCACACTGGTATAACATGGAACCAGATAATCCTGTATCATCAAGGTCTTCCACTGCAGCTGCACTCAACTCATTCTGACTGCTTTCTGTACTGCTCATCATGCAGTCTGCTATCTCAGAATCTAAACCATTACTTGTTGCTGGAAGTGAAAGGGTAGATGTGCTTTGCTGTGAAGAAGTTACACTTTGAGCTTCACTTCCATTTTGTGGGAATTCAGTGTCCTGAGGTAACTCTATGCTCAATGGATCAACAGCTGCAGCAATCGCAGCAGATGTTTTTGGATCACGATGTTTCACCGTTACCAGAGGTTCCTGAAGGATCAAATCTGTATTTTCCTTTGTAGCCAAAACCTTGCTCACAGATTCTGTACCTTGACCTACAGTTTCAACAGAATTGTCCAAAAATATCACATCAGAATCACGGGTTTCATTTTGCTCTTCCTTCTGTGAATTACATGATTCCTCTAAGCATTCCACATCAGAATCTTGTTGAGATGAATGTGTTCCACTGGGTTTCAAACACCCAACCTCTGAGCCTACATGGGAATTTTGCTGAGGTAGTGGTTGTGTATGTGATATGTCACAATGATCACCATCATCAATAATAACAATGTCATCATCAGTTTTCTGGTCATTACCACATGCAGAAGAATTAGAATTTAGTGACTTATTATTACTACCGGCAACATAATCAGAAACTTCAACTATATTTGCATGATCTTGTTTGCTGCTTTCCTTCCCCTTCAACTCAGTTCCCAGCATCTTCACTGATAGACTGTGCGGTTCAGAAGAAATGACTGATTCTTTATTCGTAGTTTCTGCATCCAAAGCTCTTTCCTCAGGGTTCATACCTGTATTTATGTTTAAACTGCCATTTGAACGATTGGAACACCTTGATTCCTGTAGTTCAGAACATGTAACATTGGCACGCAAAGAAGGATCCTCAAAAGCGGGCTCCTTTTCTGGCGGGGGCAACACTAATAAGCCATCATCTGACAATCCTTCATCCAGATCAAGAACATCTAAAACATTCAGTAAGTCCTCTTCACTCTGTTTCCCATTTAATTCAGCAAGCTACAAATAAATAAATTAAAAACAAAATAAATACAATGCTTTCAGATATGATTATTATAAATACTGCAGATGCCCAAGATTCTTCACATACAGATAAGCAATGAAGGAATTACTTCCTCTTAAAAATCCATGCCATACCAATGTCATTTTACTCACATAACAAAGAACTCTCAAAGGGCCCTATAATTTGCACAGCGAGTGCCCTTTGGGTAATAAATTTATTATAAACAGGAGTCCAGTTCCCACAGTTTTAGAATACTGGGACACCCTCTACACAAACCACAAATATGGATAATCCAAATGACTGGAAGGGGCATCAACATCAACTGCATGGCTGTACATTATCCAAGTTCCCTGTCCATTTCATACTACTCAGAAGCTCCACAGAAGCAAAAACTGGACAATTAACCCATGAATATTCACTAAACTAAAAGCAGGGGAAAACAACTGTCAAAAAGTTACATTCTGATATGAAAAGCATTATTTTCCAAGTGCAGTCATTACAATTTTACATACTGTCACGTGTTAGTGACTAGACATGGGGTCTGGATTGGTAATTGGATTTACTAAACACATAGAACTTGTAACTACAAGTTGGAGTGAAACCCAAAGTACTCAGAGAAATTGCACCAATGCCACTTTGCCTAACTGTCTGAGCTATGCCTTGGCCCAATATTGTTTCTGTACACCAATTACCAAAACTGTCCTTACCTCTGAAGTGCTTGTAGCTCGAATAATAACTTTTGCCATCTGATTTGAATGGAAGTTACATAAATGGTGATGCATCTCTTCTTTTGTGTCAGTGCCATGAAGACAATACATGCACTGATAAGAACAACATGAATGCAATTTGTAGTGCTGTAAAAGAACCATATTTTAATATATTAAATCAGAAAGTTATAGATGATACATAATCTTATCTCACCATGTTCTGAGATGCTACTGTTCCTCCCAACCATTAAGATACCGTCTCTTGAAAAGTGAGCAATGCCAGGCATCTGTTTTTCCTCTATATTACTCACACACATCATGAGGTAAATTTTTAAGTAAGAGGCAGGGTCTGATCTGTTACCTACTTTAGCAATTGACCATTCTTTGATCATTACACATAAGCAGAAAAAGGACTGCCATTAAGTGATATTTTGTATAAGCTACAACATATATCATAAGACGGCAGGTGAGATACAGCTAATTTCAATACATTAAAGTTCTCCTGTGCTATTGGTAAGAAAAGATACTCATCTCTCAATGTGAATTACCATGATGTAAAAAGATAAAGCTATCCTGGAACAGGCCATGGAGGCCCACAGGGTTGTCAGACATTAAAGCTCCTACATTTTCTAGACAGCTGGCTCACAGATGCCGATGAGATTGTCAGTCTTATGTGCCAGCTGCCCTTTAACCCCAGGAAGATTCCTGGTGCTCATCTGTGTTACAGGCTGAGTCGACCCCACGGAGATAGCACGGCTGGATTAGGTCAATTAAAAAATTGACTGAACTCATCAGGAAGCGAACCCACAACTTTCCAGCCTGTAGCATAGTGCCTCAACTAACCATGCTACTGCGTGCTCCTCTGCCATCATGTTACCAAATATTTAACATTATGTACCTCCTAGTAAGAGACAGACAATGAGTACAGCATGAAACTGTTGCATTCTGATAATGGAAATGCACTCCAGATGAAACAGTATGTTAAGAGAAATAACAAAATATTCTTCAAGAATTGAGCTAGGCAGCTCACCCATCACATACTGTACAAGGCTCTCTAGTACCCAATGACAATCTGCAAGTGGAAACTCAATCACAGATTCTCAAATTTTGAATAGTGCTACATAATTAATAGTGTAACACTTTGTCACAGTAATCTCTGCTATAAATAAAACAACAAAATGGTAGCCTTGTAAATGTTTTGTCTTTTTAATTCAAAGTTGGTATCTGCAAAATCAACACACACAGAAGCAAAGAAATAATGCACATGATGTACAACATGGAAATTTTTTTTTCCACTGTGTTTGGGCTTAGGTTTTGTAGATCATATGAAAAATTCTGATTTTTATAAGCTCATAAGCACCAGAACAAAATAATTCAGCCCTGCTAAGTCATCACAAGGAGACAAGATTAAATAGAAACAACACATTCAGCATTTTATACAACTACTTGTAATCAATGTACTAAGCAGCTAAATGACCGCATGTACTTACGGCTAGTAGACGATCAGGCTTGAAGCTTTTACTCCCACACATATGACATGAATAAATGGCAAGCTGAGAATGTTCTTTCTCTAAGTGGTGTAAGAAACTCTCTGGAATGTAGAATACAGCACCACAGCTGCCTGAAAGAACGTACCATTCTTTCAAACAATGACTTGTTGATTAGACCTTTATTTTTGTTAAGTACAGAAAAACAGAGCAAGAAAACAACAAAAGCTGGTAAAACGTGTTTTACACACATGCCAACTTTTCACTGAAAAGCACATGAAGTACCCTAAGAGAAAACGACAGAAAAGTCAAGAGCTTGAACTTCAAGCCTTGAAGTTCAAACGGCTACAGAGAATAGTTCACTAAAAAATTAAGACATGGTTCAAGAATTGCAGTTCAAATGGCCATTGTTATCTGCAAAATTAAAGAAATAAACAGTTGGTGTGCTGCCAACATTATGATGATCAGCTGTAAGGAATTATGCTTCTGAGCCCACTTTGAACCATTCCAGATGCAGTGGGTTTCCTGATCTGTCTTCCAGCCATCTCTCTGCTCCAATGGCTTAGATTTGAATGCCTGCCTTTGCATTTTATACTCGTACTTCTTCATCCTGCATATGTGCTACTGCCTGTCCTTTTGGTAGTCTTCAGTGCCTTTTGTGACAGCACACTCAGGCAGAAGAGTTAAGACAGATATTCCTGATGTGAAGTTAAGCTGAGCCATAGAACAGAAGTTCATCATACTGAGGCACTGCCTAGAAAACTCACTGTATCTGAGATATTTATCATTTTCTCATGTCCATATTGTGTTGGTGACATAATCTTGCAATGTCCAGTAAGGGTGACAGAAACTATGTGCTGCTTCCAGTCATTTGGTATTCAGTTTCCACCATAACTATGCCTTATTTTCTACATCTGAATGATGTTTCAGCTATGTCATATATTCTTACTTATTTCTGAAAACATTTGCTGCATGATGAGAGTCACGATGAGAGTCAAGCACTGAAGCCTCAGTTCAATGTACAACTTTTGTTGTTACAAGAGGTCACAACATTTTATAAAAGACCACATATCAACTACTGTAGGATGAAAGAAACTTGAGTATTAATCCTCCTGTAAGTTAATCATTGGCTTTCATCGTTTAATTCGCGGCTGCAGATGGATTTTAACTTAAGGAAAGAGTATACTGAAAAAATGTAACCATCAGCCAAATCAGACCCTGTGCATGAACTCACTCCATGCAGCTGACCCCTTCTTGAGAAGGCACCAGTTGTACAGCTAGTCAAGATTTTCCCAACAGTTTATGGAACCCAAAAGTTCATTACTGTGTTCACAATAGCCCTCCACTGATCCCGATCCTATGCCAGATCAATCCAATCTATACCACCCCATCCTCTCCAAGATCCATTTTAATACGGACTGGACGATTGGATTGGCCACCTATACACACCACTCAGAACTACACATAATTACACACTTTATAGTTCACCAGTGCACATACAATAGGGTTTTCACTAGTCATATACTGGAAACAGATTTATAACAGTCTCACTGTCACTGCAGCACATATAAAATCCTCTTTCCATTGCCTAATTCCTTTCTTGCCATTATCACTATCATCATCATCATCATTATTATTAGTGGGGTGAGACTGAGTCCACTTGGTACTGTGGAGCAATTGGTGGAATGAAGATTGGCAGGGGAAACCGAAGTACTCAGATAAAACCTGACCCAGCACCACTTTGTTCACCAAAAATACCACATGACCAGACCTGAGCGCAAACTAGGGCTGCTGTGGTGGGAAACCAGCGACTGAACACCTGAGCTATGGTGTGGCCCTTCTTGCTATTCTTCTGCCAACTACCAACTCCAAAGACTCTCTCAATTCTGTGCTGCAACTGCCAACTACAGAACTCAACTCAATTCTAATTCCAGCTGCATGAGATACTTGTTATATAGCCTCAGAGTGGACCCACAGAAAACACCGCTTCCTCTATTGTTGTGTGTTGATTCACTGCTGCAGCGATGTGTTTACCGCACCATTGCACAGTAACAAGTGCTGCCCAGACTATATAAAATACTGCTCTTCTATTGTTGCATGTGTTTAACTCCACAGGGATGTGTTTCCAGAGTCGTTGTTGAGCAATGAACTATTCCGGATTTCAGGTGTCATGTCACAATATTATCCTCCCACCTACATCAAGGTCTTCCTAGTTGTCTCTTTTCTATTGGCTTTACAATCAAAATCTATATGCATTCCTCTTCCCCACAATGTGTGCTATATGCCCTGCCCATCTCATCCTTGGACTCTGTGCATTAACCTTTAAAATAGTGCAACACAAAACTGATGAAGATTAAGAGAAACTGAAAGTTTCACAAAAATTCACACATATTATAAACTCTGGGCCATTCCAGTTACCTTGACATTAAATTTATAAGGCTCTGTTTTGTCTCTATCAAGAGCTATTACAAACTCTAGATTACAGCTGCAATAAACATTCATAACTGGCATCAATTCACCAACACAATTAAGAACACAGTGATCTAACATACAAGTTGTCATGTTTTCTGTTAGCTCTTATCATCTTATCAAAAGTGACTAAAGCTTACCTTTTACTTTACACAGATAACAAATTTCATAATCAACCATCTTCAACTAGACTAACCTGGATTCAGGAAATCTTGTACATATCACAATGAGTAGGTAAATGTAACAGTAAATGGAGTTACATTACAGGATAAGCCACTGCACATTATTATAAGGTTACAAATTATCATTTCATAACATCAAATTAATGGGTAAGACAGCTCCAAAGCCAGGTCCTTTCATTTCATCCTTTATGACTCTTTATGACTGGCGTAGTAGCACTAATGTTCCACACTTGTGCACATGAGGTACTTGGTTTGAATCTTGGATGGATTACCAGCTCAATGAAAGTTCTATCACAGCTTTGCCTTTCTTAAGGCATATAAAAGGACAGCACACTTAAATAACCCAGTACTCTACTTTCACATCCTTACCTGTTCATAATAGACAATCATCTATCCATTCAATATTAGCTATATAATCTACAATGTACAAACTGTCATTAAATAATACCAGCATAAATCTATAACACAAAAAAAGAAGAAAAATGAAACAATATTTTTCAGAATGCAAGATCTGAATAAAAGAGGGGGAGAACTCATGAGGTATGATAATCAATCTCATTGGCCCATCATCACAAAACTGTACTGTCACAACAAACCAACCCCACAGAACCAAGCATTAATTCAGACATTAATGAAAGTCATCCAGTGACAAAATTATCCAACTTTTAAGCAACCCCCAACCCCTCAGATCCATCACTATGTTCACATAAGCCCATCAGTGGCATCTCTCCCCTGAACACTACATGCCCCACATATCTTATTTCCTTCAACCTGATCACCCAAATACAAATTATGAAGCTCCTCATTATGCAGCTTTCTAAAGTCTCCTGTCTCTGTTTCTCTAGTAGGTCAATATCTTCTCCTTTGGAAAACTCTCAAATGCCCTTCATCAATGTTCTTCTGAATCCTCACAGCTACAAAATTATAGTTTTATATATCTTAATCTACATCTTTAGACAGAAGACAGGAAGACAACTGAATGGCAGCAAGCATTTCCTGAACTGATTTTCTTCGTGAATCCAATTTTTAATTTGTTACTGTTAAAAATATCTGAATTCCATATCACATTTTCAAACAATTTATTTTCTACATTTATATTATTATATGTTGGTGACCAGACATGAGGTTTGGACCGATAAGTCAAAGTTATGTTACGACCAACAGTTAGCCTTGGTGTCAAGCCCCATTTGGGGTCTAATGCTAGATTTTTGTTAGTGTCCCAGTTGTGGGTTTGCTGATGTGAGGCACCCTCTCTGATAAGAGGACAGGTCTGTCATTTACAACTGCTGCTGGTTCTCGCAAGCACAGTCATTCTTGGGTCCATGTCTCATGGGACTCATCATCATATTTTACTGTATCAGACTCAAGAATCCCTCAAAATGGAGGGCCAGGTCCCCATATGTATGTTACCCAGGAACAAGGTAGCATAGTTGTACCTTATGCCGTTGCCTCCTACAACTCACAGGTCTATGAGGGAGGCATTTGAACCTGCCTCTACGCGGGCATTGTATTCTACAGCCAACGTCTTTTATGACTGTCATTTCACTGCCAAGCACTTCATCTTGGCTCACAACCAGAGTTTTTCTTTTTGGAAACTAAACTCTTGCAGTCATAGCCCTTATCTAACATCCTCTCACGAGGTGATGCGTTTGTCCCTTATGAATATGCTTGGTCGTCATCACGCGTACCTATCACATATACAGAATGTTTTTGAAAATTCTTCCTTTTGCACTGTATAAAAGTCCTCTATCAGTATAGGCTTTGCAAAGCAGATCATGCCTATCCTATTCATCTTATGCTACAATGTCAGCTTAGTCACTTGTATAGTTGTAAGCTTGGTTGCTGGAAGTTTAAGCCTCTTATTTTCTGTCTGGCTTCACCTTGTTTATACTGTGAACATGTTCATTCTCATGATTTTTAATGACCTCAGCCTGTTTTCTGCACAATTTTGTTATGTAATAATGATGCACAAAGCATGTTAAGTCAGACATGGTATTCTCATTTGAAAAAATGGTACTAAGCATTTAAAAATTCAGTAAATGATAAATCTATAATTCTGAATTAGTAATGTGTATTTAATTACCTTGTTCACAGATGTAAGGTACAACTACAGAGGAACGTGGTTTTACTGCATTCACAGGACTGGGAAGATCTTTAATTTCTCTGCACATCAGAACAGCTACATGTTCACTTGTATGACTTGTGTTCTGAAAAGCACACCACAAAATACAAGATATACAACTGGGTCAATATAGCTGAGCACTTCTTGTGAAGCAGACAGTCTTCCTGCTTGTCAAGAAATTCCATGCATTTTACTACATCTAGAGGTTCATCACTGAGTTCACAATGACCCTACCACTACATCCTATCCTAAGTCACTTGAATCAAGTCAACCTCATGCCATATTTACAAGGAGCAGACATTATATCATGAAACTAATACCATAACATTTTATGTTATGGTTAAGAACTTTACAAGTTATCTCCTTCAAAGTAGCTCCCTTGGGAACCTACATAGCACTGCACAGTTACCACATTTTTCAAAACAGTACTTATGTTCTTTCCCCCAAAATTAAGATAGAAAAGTCTCTGCTCTCTTACATTCATATTACAGGTAAAAGGTAAGGTAAAGTTGTCCCTGTGCTTAACTAATTAAGCATTATGCCATGAAGACGTATGGGGGAGTGGATGTATAGACCCACATTTTTCTTGACCTCTGTGCTAGTTGGAGGTGGGTTCATTCACATTAAAGACATATATAATAGCAAAAGATTTCTGATGTTACACCCTTTAACTCCAAACAGTGGTATTTCTTACACATAAGCTTAAATAAACAAAAATTCCTTCTTATAACTCTGCTTATGTTGGCAATCAACTGTGATTTAATTCCAAACAGTGGTATTTCTTACACGTAAGCTTAAATAAACAAAAATTCCTTCTTATAACTCTGCTTATGTTGGCAATCAACTGTGAAGCAACACAAAATTACCTTCCTAGGTGTGTTACCTCAGAACTGAGAGAAAGAATATAACATTCTTGTGAACTTCTCAAAATGTACAAGTCACACTGAGTTAGTGATGTGATTCCCAGCAACAGTTTCAAAAGGTCACAGTGAAGGAGTAAATAGAAAATGCATTATCATAACTCTATAAAGGATTAAATATGAGCTAATCCTAAGGCTGATAGGCACACCCTATGACAGATTCTTAATCCAACTGGCCTAACAATTCCACGTGTATTGCAAACCCTCAGAAACCAATATTATACAACACTTTATAAAGGGCTCATCCACTTCCTCCCAATCTTACAGATAGTAAAGCAAATTTATAACATTACCTGATGGAGAACAATATAGGACTTCGTCACAGCCCGGTAGAAGCAATATGCGCACTGGTACAAACAATGTCCATGCTCTGTCTGCATGTGTTCCAGCACACCTGCTAAAGATGTCTGGATGGCACAACAATAAGCACACTGCTGCCAATCAGACATCTTTGCTGCAGGTGGTCTTCCTTTCTTCTTCTCTGATGCTGATCGCTGTCCCAGCTGATTCTCATGCTCATTATAATGTTTAGTGTAATTTTCCACATTGTCTGTTGTATAGGAGCACAACCTTGCCATGCATTTGTACAGATGTCGCAGTTTCACAGGTTTAATCATCTCCTGGTACACTGATGGCACTTTTGAAGCTTTTGCATATGAAGGTGCCACAGCTGACTTGTGGGGAAGTTTACTTTTTGAGACTACTGTTGACAGAACTGTGTTACTAGCTGCTGTAAAGGGAACTGGGGGAGGAGCCAAGCCAGGAGTACCTTTCTGTACTATGCTAGGAACTGTAACCTTAACTTCTAATCTTTTCTTAACTGAGACTGAAGATATTGGGGTCTTCCCTACAGATGATGTAGTGTTTGTAGTCATGGTCAAAGACGGTGCTGTTTTCATATTTACCATTACAGGGGCCTGAGATTTGGAAGTTAACACCACAGGTGACTTCGCTGTAACTTGGTTATCCTTAATTTCTAAACGGACAAAGGTTCCTTTTGGCAGTATGTTTGGTAAAACCTGATTGCACCATATCCCTCCTCTTATCATTCCACCTGAAAGCTTCTCTTTAGCAACAGTTACTTTAGAGCTTGTTGGTCTTGTAATCTGAGCAAGACCCATAAGTGAATGAGGGATGTTTGTTGCTACACTGGGCTTAGAGGCAATGTCAGGAGATTTGAAGCTGGCTAATTTCACTGGCGACAACTGTACATTGTTAAGCTTCATGGGAGAAAGTTGTTGCAATGATGGAAGTATTGTAATAGTTGATGACTTTGACAGTGGAGTTAGTGGAAACATGTGCATTGTGCCATGAGGTCCTGGAGTCTTTCCTCTCAACACTGAAATTGGCAGTGGAGATGACGATGTTAACAGCTGTACATCTGGTGAAGAAGTTCGCAGAGCACCTGTGGAAGGACCTGGAGCAGTAGTCATGAATGGTATAGAATTCTCAATTACAGATGCAGACATGACACCTGTTGAGGAAACAGCATTAGATGAACTAGGGATGGAATATATGCCGGCTGGGGAAGATGTTACATCACTGTCATCACCAGGGTCCAACTTCTCTAAGGATTTTGAAGCATTCTGAGGATCTTCAACTGCCCTGAGAATCTCATTCACCTGAAATTGGAACAATTATATATGTCAGTTGAATAATTAAAAAACTGGAATTATAAACATAAACTTCTAGACAGAAAAATAAGTGGTCTGATCTTAATACAAAATATAAGCCGTGTACAGAGTGGGGCACAAAAACTTCTGTTTTTTGAAGGCGAATAAAAGAAAAATTATTGCTGATAGACAAAATTTATGTTTAGCTAATGAAAGAACATACTTTAAAGTTTTAAATCATGTAGTTTTAAACAAAATATCTTGAAAGTGGTGGCCACTGTTCTCTATGCACTGATGCAACTGCTTTCTGAAGTTCCCCCCTGCACGTTCCAACATGTGCTCCGGAATTTGGGCTACTTCCTGCCGAATAACATTCTTCAGCTGAAGCAGGTTTGTGGGGCGATGTTTAAAAACCTCTGCCTTGAGGTATCCCCGCAAAAAAAAATCACAGGGCGTTAGATCAGGTGAGTGCGCTGCTTGTTGACTGTCACCTCAAAGGGAGAGGAGCCGTCCAGGGAACCTTGTCCTCAAAACTGTCATCGAAGTTTGGGCTGTGTGGGCCATGGCACCATCCTGTTGGAACCAGACATTTCCTAGATGCATTTCTTCAAGAGCTGGTTCGAAAAAGATTTTTAATCATGTCCACATACCGCTGTGAATTGACAGTAACTGCATGACTGTCTTCTTCAAAAAAATAAGGGCCAATAACTCCAACTCTCGACAACGCACACCATACTGTCACCTTATCACTGTGAAGTGGCCTCTCATGGAGCTCTCTGGGATTGTTACCACTCCAACAGCGCATATTCTGCTTGTTGACATATCCGGATAGGTGAAAATGTGCCTCATCACTAAAGAAAACAAGTGTGTCAGGGGGTAAAGTTTCCAATAACATTTTGCACGCCGTTATTCGGTTCTGGAAATCACGTGATGACAATTCTTGCACAACAACCATCTTATAGGGATGGAAATTAAGATGTTCGTGAAGAATTCGGCGCATTGAACAACTGGATATGTCTAGGGCGACTGCATGTTTGCGAGCGGAGCATCTTAGAGATCTCAAAATCAACTGTCGAACTGCCTCCACATTTTCTGGCGTCGTAACAGTCCGTTGTCGTCCTGATGAATTTTTCACCACACTCCCGGTTGTCCTAAAGTTCTCTAGCCACAAAACAATCGATTTCCCATCGGGAACTTGACCTCTGGGCTTAATTCCGAAGTGAGTACTGAACGCACGCTGCACCGCAACATAGGAATGGTTGTTTGAAAAATACGCTTCGACAGCAAACGCATGCTGCTCACTCGTCCACCTCAGGTTTCCTACTGAGGGGTATCAGACATAAACTTCAGCGACTGCTGCGTCGCTGAGCCTATCCCCACTTTTCCGCGACCTCCCTTCCCTTCACAATGCGTCTTCACAAAAAGGAAGATTCTGCGCCCCATCCTGTATAATCCCTGAATTAACATACCTTCAACACTTAAGTGTTCTAGGTGCATCTGCAAAAAGTAAGTCTGTCCAGTATTATCTGTTTGTGTGAAATGGCTCCACTTTTACAAAATAATTTTAATTTTATTATAACTTAATGAGAAATATAATTTTGTTATGGATTCAAGCTCACTGGCTACCTAGTACCTCTTAGCTCTCAGACTCATCTGGGTTGGAAGTAAGATATAACAAATCCAGATATACTAGGCATAGTGAAGTGCTATGATACTGTCACAGTGACTATAGTTGGGATTTGGATCGGTAATTGGATTTACTGAACACTTACAGAATGTAACCACAGTACACATAAAGTCTTCTCACTCTGCTATATCCTCCCCAATCATGGCCTGGTGACAGATTCAAATGTCATTTGCTTCCATGCTCACGGTCTTACTGGCCGGCAAATATCTCACAACTAACTCACTGCCTCAGTTGTTGACTCTCAGTCAGTTGGTCAGTTAAATTTCTTCCGTCTTTCACCAGCGCAGTCATTCCTGGTTTCAGTCTCCTCGAGAACCATGAACAAGATTTTTATTCTCTCAAAGACATGTGTTTCAAAATGGGGCATCCTCTTCAACAAAGGAAGGGTCAGGCTTTCTATGTAGGTACAATGTTTGTTGTACCCTTTTTTTTTATTGCTAGTGGGGTGGGTCTAAGTCCTTTGTATTGTGGCCACTTCTGGCCTATTGTACCAGCCCCAGATCATAG